TTCGACTACGACGACGACGACGACGACGACGACGACGACTACTACTACTACTACTACTAATTACTACTATTACCACTACTATTATTATTATTACTACTACTACTACTACTACTACTACTGCTACTACTACCACTACGACCCCTCTTCAAGCTCCCGTGGCTATCTCAAATTTGCAGGATGCACTTGCGGCCATGGAGGTGTTCCAAGGCTACGCCGGTTGGGGCCAGGAGGGTGACAAGAGCTGCGAGGCCCGGGTGGGTCGTGTGGGGAATCTGAGATCATCATGACGCTGATAGTTTTGGGATGTGGAGTTTAGGATTCCATTCTTTGGTTTAGGGTAGTAAGCAGCTCTAAAGGTGGCCTTCATGACCATGGGGTACCAAGTTCTCTCGCAGCCCGACCTGATCCAGGTTTCCTGGGCCCATCCACATCAGGGCCTCCAGGAGCATGCCTGGTGCTTAAAAAGAAGAAACCACCCAGTGAAGTTATTGACATCCATTAAACGTCACGATATCTCGTAGGACTGCGGAAACGGAGTGGAAAGGAGAAAGGCCCTCCAAACACAAGCCTAAATTCTAAACCCTAAACCCTAAACCCTAAGCCTGCATGTTTAGTTACCCTTTTCGGTGGCCCGGCCGAAGCATCGGATCTCTTCATGGAATTTCGGGTTTGGGGGTTGCAGGGTTTCAGGGTTTTAGGGTTTAGGGTTTAGGGGTTTCAGGACGACAGTCTCAGGGCTTCGAAGTGAGCTCGAGACCACTGAAGTCCACGTTGGGGTGGCGAAAGGGGTTCAGGTGTATGGGGGTTTGGGGGTTTGGGGGTCGGGTTATTTTTAAGTTTAAGGGTTTCAATTGGATCTTAGGGGTTGATCCACTTGGCTTCGTGAAACAGAGTGCAGCTCTCTACCTACGCTTGCCGAGGTTGAGCGATACCGGAACAGCCCTGTCATGCACCCGCTCACGCCGGAGGAGAGCACAGAGAGCTTGGGGTGTTGTGGGTTTAGGGATATGGGTAGTTGTCAAAATTATGGTCCCTTTTGGGGTACCCTAAATCATAGCTGCCGTATTATAATAAGGACCCAAAAAGGGACCCTACTTTTGACAACCGCCCACTTGACGTTAGGGCCTTAATAATTAGAATAGGGTTCCTTTAAAGGGTTCCTTTAAGGGTTCTGTAAGGGATGCCATAAGGGCTTAGGGTTTAGCCTAACTTTGACAACCGCCCAATTCCCTAAACCCTAAACCGTAAACCCTAAACCCTAAACCCTAAACCCTAAACCCTAAACCCTAAACCCTAAACCCTATTTTAGGGTTTGGAGTACTGGGTTTAGGCGGGTAGGCCCGGAAGAGCACTCTCGAGTCCGATGGTGGAGGTCGTGGAGGGTTTAGGGTTTAGGGTTTAGGGTTTAGGGTTTAGGGTTTAGGAGTATCTGGAGTTTCCGGCTGATTCGGTGGTTTCGGATGTTAAGCTTGTTGGGTGCTCCGACATTTCGGGACATGAAAGCAGTTTGTAGCTTTCGGTTTGTGGTCGACCTCCCTTCGCTATCTCGAGTTGTGCGGCTAATCCTGCATGGATAGCCCGATTCCGAGCTATGCCGAACTCAAGACTTTGAGACTCGAGCCTGAAAAAAATCACAGACATGAGCTGTCCTTAGGAGCCACCGTAGGGAACATAGCCATGCAAATTATCAACAGCAGCACGGTCTTCATCATTCTCACCGTTACCCCTTCAACGTACTCGTCGTCGTCGTCGTCGTCGTCAAACCCTAAACCCTAAACCCTAAACGCTAAACCCTGAACCATAATGATGACCCTAATGATGACCTTCATTTCTATAGCACATTCCAACATTCCGTCAGGCCATATCAGCAGGCACGAGGATGAAAGTCATGTGGGTAGTTCTCAAAATTATGGTCCCTTTTGGGGTACCCTAAATAATAGCTGCCGTATTATAATAAGGACCCAAAAAGGGACCCTAATTTTGACAACCACCCATGTGAGGCATCAAAACCATCATCGTCTCATCATACTTGCTCCCGTCATCGCAATCCCTTGCAGCCACAGTCAACATCTGAGTGAGTGAGTGAGTGAGTGAGTGAGCGTCGACCAGCACTTGCGGTGCGGCCTGCCTCCCACGTCCCTCTCAACATCTCAGAGGGGCTCCGGAAACGTCCTAGCCCCCCACCGTCACAGAGTTCAAGTGGGGGAAAATTAGCTAATGCAGACAAGTCACTGTTTTAAACCATGGTGTACGGTGCGCAACCCCCCAAAAAAATTGAAAAAAAAAGCTTTTAGGATACACCTGGAAAGACTGTTTCAGCGGTCGAGGGACAAGGAGCCAGGAATGAATTGGGTTTGAACGATACCTTGGCAATCCCAGCATCCACCAAAGAATACAACAAGTAGTCGACAGACGCAAACAGCATCAAGGGGGCGAAGCCGTGCGGCCAGTGCCGAGGGAGCGATGCTCCATGCACAGAGGGCACACACAAGGAAGACCCCAAAGGCGCGCGCCTTGTGCCGAGGGAACAGTGTTCCAGCACCGAGGGCGAGCACGCCACCAAGCAGGTCCAATAAAGTAGTATCACGAGTCATCTAGGCTGCCGCAGCAATAAACGGCACAGAGGCACATCCCTGGAAGAAAGCCGGTGGTACAAGCGGCAACCAAGCGATCTGTCAAAGCTTGTGGTAAGCGTGGAATACCTCACATATACATAGGACGCCCTCATGCCCTTGACCCCATGCATGGTGGCCAACATGTCCAAACGAGCTTTCGATGCATGTAGGTGTAGAAGAGCTGACATACATTGGACGCCGCACGACCGTAACACCATGCAACCAGCATTTCATTCATCTCTCACGAATAGATGCCGCACCCAGTAGTAGCAGCAGAAAAGTTGTCGTTTTCATCGTCGTCGTGGTAATCGAAACGAAAGATGGCACATCACCCAGAGACAAGAAAGATGCCGACCCACCGATACGTAACGGCACTGTCGCCCTAGTGCCACCAGGTGGGGGAAAGGGCGCCCACGACTCTTAGTGCCGCCCCGGGGGTCCACACCCTTTCCAGCACCAGCCCACCCAGCCGAGACAAGCACTAGGCCCCGGGGCACAGTCAACATCTTTGCAGCTGGGGCTACGGTCAATGTCGTCGTGATAGTCCTGAGGAGTCACATCCCCCCTAGGCTTCACAGCCTGAATTCTGAGCTTCATCGTCACATTTCCAGAGCTTGTTAGTTATCGCGATTCGAAGGTTGAACCGTGTTCTCCTTGCTTCACCATCTTGTGCGAAGAGGTGGAAGTATCCATCCAGAAACCCACACTACACATGATAGGTGCAACATAGACTCGAAATGATGAGAATGTCGCCCTTCAGCCCTTCACTCCGAATTCAACACACCCCGCTGCCCTTTCTCAGGAGTACAAACCAATGGTCTTCGCTAACGGACAGCGTGTCCCGTTCCCTGCGCCGACAAAGGCAGGGTCTCATGCAAGTTTGCCGTTTTTTTGCATTTCCAGATAGCTGTGATGCGGGGTGATGTCAGACTTGCTTTGTCAGTTCTCAGATGAGCCAGCCTTGAACAAAGCCCATGCCATCCTGATCGTAAATGTTGGGGACACGGCCGCTTTCTTCTGCGAAGTGGCTTGCAAGTGTGATGTCCCAACCCATCAACCCAGCTCAAGGCACTTAACGTCCGAATGCTACAAGCCGTGGATGGCGTTGGAGAAAGCTATTTCATGTTTATCCTTGCGCTCCATATTGTTTCTGATTGTTCAGTGCTGGGAGCACCGACCAGTGCAAATAACACAGTCAGGAGTCAGGAGTGCTGTTTTTGTTGATGAGTGTGATATACGATACGTTGGCTTGAAGTGCATTTTCTTTTTCTTTTTTGTTTTGAATAACACTGTCGATGTCGGTGACAGTGTTGGTGATGGTGAGAGTTTGTTGGATTTAGCATTGCTCCCGCCGCTGCTTTCCGTTTGCTTGCTTGTTTGTTTGCTTTTTCGTTCGTTCGTGCGTGGGTTAGTTAGTTAGCTAGTTAGTTTGGTTGTTTTTGCTGCAGCTCCGCCTCCTGCTGCTGCTGCTGCTGCTGCTGCTGCTGCTGCTGCTGCTGCTGCTGCTGCTGCTGCTTGATGTTGCCCACCACTGAGTTGGACGACCTGCTCCAGCGTCGATGAATGAGTGGAAGAATGAGAGCCATTGTTGTTCTGTTGTTGTTGCTGCTGCTGCTGTTGTGGTTGTTGCTTCTTGTTTGTTGGTTGTCCTTGGTCGTTGATCGTTAGTCGTTGATCGTTGGTCGTTGGTCGTTGGTTGTTGGTGGTTAGTTGTTGGTGTGGTTGTTGCTGTTGCTTTTGTTAATGTTGTTGTTGTTGTTGCTGCTGCTGCTGCTGCTGCTGTTGCTGTTGTTGTTGCTGTTGCTGTTGTTGTTGTTGTTGTTGCTGCTGCTGTTGTTGCTGTTGTTGGTTGTCTGGCCAGGCTCCGCCTAAATGAACAATGCACGCAAACGCTGTAGCCGGCGGTTTCGACAAGCTTGGACATTCCCTTGACCCACAACTAAACCTTACATGCGAATGTTACCCCTAAGCCACTACATCCCCGAACCCCCAAACCTTCTTGTGCAAGCCCTGAACCAACCGCGCCCCAAGACGGCTCGTTTTGGAAATTGGGCGGCAGTTGTTGGCTTTGGGCAGACACTTGGGTGGTGCCATCTTACCGAAAAATCTCTAAACGAGGGTAGAAGCGTCGAACCAGAAGCTTTGCTTTGTGTGATCTTTAGAACTCCCTCAACCCTAATCCCACTCGCGGACTTGTGGAGAAAGCCCCATCGCACTTCAAGAAACGTCTGGGGGGAAAGTCCCAACACACTTGAAGTCGAACCCCAAGCTCCAATGACACCCTAAGCCCCCAACCCCCAAACCCGGCAATCCTAACCCAAGCCCTAAACTTGATAGAACCCCGGTACATTGAACATCCAGAAGGGGGTCTAAAGGATTCAAAAA